GTGTAGTGTCTTGGGAAAGATAAGATCAAAAATAGTCTTGTAGTCTGCAATTAGGAATAAAAGCTGGACTCAGAGTGGACTCTGCACCTCAGTCCCATAGAGGCTGCTTGTCCCCTGACCCATTGCACCAGATTTCATGTTCTGTCTTCATTCTTGTCGCTCACTCCCGGACCATTAGGACAACACAGCCCCAGAGATGATAGACAGTGTTTAGTAAATTCCACCCTCCATGGGACCATCCACTGCCTGAGTCATGCTCTAATACCTGGAATCAGCTTCAAGGCATTCTCCAGGTACTGATCTTCTGTGATAGGGTGACTGTTTAACTTCAGCTCCAGGGTGAAATCCCGAACAGCCCAGATAAAGTCTGGAAAGAAACTCACAAACTCTGCGGAATCTTCTACTCCATCAGGTCTTGGAGAGGACTTGGCCTGGATAAGTTCTGTGAGCTCGGTCACATAGCTAGGACTTGGTTAAAGAAAAGCAACTGCCTCCGCACAATTCCTACATTTCCCTAATTAAAAAGTATTATCATCACTCTCTTAGGCCCTGGGTCCCCTCTGCTCCACCAAAGGCAACTAAATGACAGGGAAGGAGAAATGACTCTATCATTTTCATCAAACTTGGTGAAACCTGGAGGTTCAGTTTCTGGAAGGATACTGCAGCTGTTCCAGGGCCTGGTGGTTGATGGTGCTCGTGCTATTGTAGACAAAGGTGCTACATAGAAGCACAGCCAGGGCAAAGATCCACGAGTCATTCTTAGGGTCACCCTAGAAATCACATTTCAACAAGAGGTTTAGGAGTTTACTCCTAAATTAAAAATTCAATCATCCATTGATTCTATCATGCTTTCATGTATTATTTCAGTTAACATACTCACCATGCATAGACACTATTTGAAGACAGACGTAAACACAGATATCAGCTTTGACAATTACAAAGACTTTTTTATGTTTTTTATTTTTTCATATATAAAGTGATTCTAATCTTCATAAGACTTTCGTTTCCCTCAATGGATTAAGGAAATAACATATACATAAAAACTAGTACAGTACTTGGTATGTAACTATGTATTCAATGATGAGTGTTAGTACTTCTTCGTTCTACACATATTTATTAATCATAGCTCATATAAAATCAACCAGAGTTGGCATAACTGGGTTTTTTAATTATATTCAATCAGTAAATATCTTCAAAAGTTACTCAATACTCTCCCACTGTTCTTAGATTTCAAAAAGCAATGTTAAAAATGACAATTATTCCTTTCAGGATGCCTATTTCAAATAAGTGACAAACATCCATAACAATAAAAGCCACAAAGATGACAGTACCTATAGAAAGCTGACATCTTAGTAATGTATATAAGCAGTGAAACTTATAGCTATAACATTAAATTAAAATTTATGTCTGTAAAGGAAGAACTGAGCTATGAAAGTTGGAGAAAGAATGTGACATGAAAGCTTCCTCGAAGTCTTGAACTGAGTATTAAAGAACTGATAAAATGTGGACTTCAAGAAATGAAGGTGACCCCATAGACAGAAGCACTCACAGAGGCAAAATTAGAGATGGGAGAATACTGGGGTCTTATAATTAAAATAGAGTTATTTCACTTGACTGGAGCAGAGGGTGAGTGGAGAAGTGAATATGAAGCTCTAGTGCAACCTGATGAAGGGCCTTAAAGGCCAGGCTAATTTGTTTGTATAAGTCATAGCATTTTCTAAATAGTAGCATAAATCTATATATTATTTCTACTGTAAAGAGTGTGTAAAGCTGCTGCCTAGAGCAAATGGAAAAACTGATTTATGTCAAGACAATTCTATATGAGAATTTGGGAGAAATAGTCTATTCATTTGGAGAAGGCAATGGCAACCCACTCCAGTACTCTTGCCTGGAAAATCCCATGGACGGAGGAGCCTGGTGGGCTGCAGTCCATAGGGTCTCGAAGAGTCGGACATGACTGAGCAACTTCATTTCACTTTTCACTTTCATGCATTGGAGAAGGAAATGGCAACCCACTCCAGTGTTCTTGCCTGGAGAATCCCAGGGATGGCAGAGCCTGGTGGGCTGCCGTCTATGGGGTTGCACGACTGAAGCGACTTAGCAGCAACAGCAGTCTATTCATTACTTTATTTCCCCAAAATTCAGGCTTAGAAAATAATCAATTAGAAGAAGTGGCATTTATGGCAAACAATCAATTATTTCAACAACAAGACTATATCATTGTTTGATACATGACTTTCAAGATAAAAACAGAATTTCTAATTCTCCTTTGGGAATAAATATAAAAAGCTACAGAAATTTGGGTACTAGTTCCAAAAAAGTCTAAAGTTAATGAAAAAAAGAAAAGTAACTTCTTTCATCCGTTAGTAGAAAGCTAAAATACCAAAAAATCCATCTTAAAATGTTTCTTGTAGGACAAACATATGTTTTACAGAACCACCACATCTAGAGGTATCTCACAACTTTCTAAAATGCTCTGTGAGCAGTTGATGAATTTCATCATAGAAAATGTAAACCCATCTCTTAACTCTAACCTTTAAATACACTCTTCGTCTGATAGCTAAGAAGATGAATCAAAAATCCTTCCTCTTTTTTACCAACGCACTTTTATAACTCAACTGTAAGTGATGGAAACTGTCAAGTCCTGCCTAGATCACCTTTCAAGACTGAAGGACTTATTCCCCTAGCTGTTGGGAGTGCCATTGAAAGAGTCTTCAGGTATCAGCCCTATTAATTAGAAAGGCTCCCAAAGTAACTTTTCAATAATTTACTAGCACCATTGTCCCAAGTCAGAGCAACGCAAAAGGACCATTCTTGCCCAGAGCTCCCAGGGAACGGACAGGAGTTGGTGATTGCAGTGTAGTTCAACTCCCTCCTCTCTCCACCTGCTTCTTTACCAATCACCCTTTATTAAATCTGACTGCACATGTGTGGTCTTTGAGAGCAAGACCTTTACTTTGGTCACTGATATCTACCTTATTGGGGCTTCCCTGGTGGCTCAGTTGGTAAAGAATCCACCTGTAATGCAGGAGACTCGAATTTGATCCCTGGGTCAGGGAAGATCCCCTGGAGAAGGAAATGGGAATGCACTCCAGTATTCTTGCCTGGGAAATCCCAGGGACAGAGGAGCCTGGTGGGCTACAGGCTGTTGGGGTCACAAGAGTCAGACACAACTTAGCAACTAAACCACCAACACAATCTACCTTATTAAGTCCAAAGGCCTAGAATTCAGCTGTTCAATAATTATTTATTAAAAGAAAGCAAGTCGTCCATGCAGTGCCAAGAAATAAAATATTTTATTTAATATAGATCTAATAACTTTTCCTAGAAGTGGGATTTAAACAAACCATAGTTTGCCTCATTTACTATAGTTGACTTCTGGATTTTACAAATAGACTACAGCAGCTAAAGTTCTACGATCATCAAGCAATAAGGAGAAAACCCAGAATAGAAAGGATTTATCTGTGACCTTCCACCTCACCTTTTCCACATCCCCCAAGCCCTCAGTGTCCAGAAGGACCAGGGTGTGGTTTGGCTTGGAGGGGTGGGGCACACACCACATCCAGATGCCCTTGGTTTCAGACTGCACTGTGGAGCCCAGAGGGAAACCTGCAAAGGGAGGGGAGAAAGCAATATTCAATCACAGCAGATAATCTAAGCCGCCAAGGGATTACAAAGTCAGACTTACTAGAATGCGAGTACCTTAGTACATATGATGGTGTTGTCTCTATCTCACCAAGAATGCCCTACTTTGTGTGTCCTCTGTTTCAAGGAGAAGGGGATATTAATTGCAATAATGATACCAAGCAAGGGTTCAGCATGGAGACAAAGAGGTATCCATGAATCACATAAAACAGAGGTTATGGCTAACTGTAACAAGAGCATTTTGAAAGAATGGTGAGTTTCAAAAGTGGAGAAGTGGATCACAGTGAGATATGGGCACGGGGAAAAAGTAGAAAAAAGAAATTGAGATTGTATTTTTTCCAGAAAAAATTATTTTTTAAAAAGTGGGAGAGTTTGAGAGGTTTTAACCACAGTAGGATATGAAATCCAGGAAGAATTTTTAAGATGATAGATAATGAAACATCTGTATATGTTGTTGAGAATATTCAATAAAAAACAAAATGTTTTGAAAGTGAGAAGACAACTGCAAGAGCACTGTATTTAATCAGGTAGGATAAAGTAGGATTTTTGCATATGTTGAAGAAATTTCACTTTACAGGAATAAAACAAAGAACATGATAATAGATCACAATAAGGTAGTGATTTAGTGGTGAGAATTAGAAGTGGAAGATTGGCTTATTCAGAGGAATATGTTTCTCCCTTCACATGACCAGGGAAGAAAACTAAGAATCTAAGATGTCAGCTAGAATCAAACAACTGGACTCGAACCAAGTACAACACTCACCACGGTTCTGTCCTGCAAGACGGTTCATCAAGTAGGATTTGCCTGTACGATACAATCCTACAATGGCCACCACCACCACTGGCTGAGAAATCTTCTCAAGAATATGTAGAGCTTTCTGGTTCACTGACAGAATCTCATTGTCATTTTCCACCAGACAAATGGGGTCCTTCATGTTGGGTCCAGATGCCATGGCAACCTAGAAGAGCTTTCTAGTAGAAATAAGATTACAGGCAGAGTTATACAAGGCATCTGTCAACTTCAACTTCTGTAAGACTTCTGTACTTTCCATGAGACAAAAGGTAACCTAGAATTAGCATACTACAGAGGTTTTCCTCCATCATTCCCTCAAATCTCTGATGATATTTTTAATGAAAGACAAGCTATTATCACTATGCATAATTTTACTTCAATAATAATAAAAATAAAATTCAAGTTATTGTTACCATGCATGGTAGGCCTACCACACACCAAGCCCCAATCCTAATGGAAATCAATCCTGAGTATACATGGGAAGGGCCAATGCTGAAACTGATGCAAAGAGCTGACTCACTGCAAAAGACCCTGATCCTGGGAAAGACTGAAGGCAGGAGGAGAAGGGGATGACAGAGGATGAGATGGTTGGATGGCATCACCAATTCAATGGATATGAGTTTGAGCAAACTCCAGGAGATGGTGAAGGACAGGGAAGCCTGGCATGCTGCAGTCCATGGGGTTCCAAAGAGTCAGACATGACCTAGCGACTGAAAAATGAACAATGAACAATGATACATAAAATACATGCGTGATGCTGTTTAGTCACTCAGTTGTGTCCGACTCTTTGTGACCCCATGAACTGTAGCCCACTAAGCTCCTCTGTCCGTGGAATTTTCCAGGCAAGAATACTGGAACACGTTGCCGTTTCCTACCCCAGGGGATCTTCCCAATTCAGAGATTGAACCCCCTGTCTCCTGCATCTCCTGCATTGGTAGGCCAATTCTATACCACTAAGCCACCTGGGAAGCCCACATAAAGCACAAACCCAGCTAAGTTCATATTTCAAAGAACCGACCATGCTATTTGAGACTTGGAACATTCAGCCTCATTCCCCAACCTCTGGGGATCAGAGAAGAGCTGAAAGTTGAGTAATCATCAATGACCATTGATTTAATCAACTATAGCTATTTAATGAGGCTTCTATTTATAAAACTGAAAAAACAAAGCTACCTAAAAGGGTTCAGAGAGCTTCTGGCTTGATGAACATGGAGATGACCAAAGACAGCATGTCCAGAGGGAACATGGAAACTCCATACACCTTTCTTGCTGCTGCTGCTGCTAAGTCGCTTCAGTTGTGTCCGACTCTGTGTGACCCCGCAGACGGCAGCCCACCAGCCTCCTCTGTCCCTGGGACTCTCCAGGCAAGAATACTGGAGTGGGCTGCCATTTCCTTCTCCTACCCCTTTCTTACCTTTACCCATTTCTTCTCTCTTGCTCTTCCTGGGTTGTATCCCTTTTTTTTTTTTTTTAATAAATCAGTAACCTAGCAAGTAAACTATTTTTCCTGATTTCTGTAAACCATCCTAGCAAATTATTGAACCTGAGGAGGAGATTGTGGGACCCTCCACTGTATAGCCAGTTAGAAGCCCAAGTGACAACCTAGACTTGCAATTTGTGTCTGAATTGGGGGACAGGAAGATCCCCTGGAGAAGGAAACAGCAACCCACTCCAGTATTCTTGCCTGGAGAATCCCATGGACGGAGGAGCCTGGTGGGCTACAGTCCACAGGGTAGCAAAGAGTCGGACACGACTGAGCGACTTCACTCTCACTTTCTTTCACTTTCACTTGAGGACTCAGCCCTTAGCCTGGGGACTGTGGAATACAGACTAACTCTTCGAAATAAGTGTGTGAAAATTGCTTGGTATGATAATACGCCCACATAAGTGATGCCCAGAAGTGAAATATGGAGAATAGAAATTTGAGGGGAGAAGCTGAATTTTTCCTTTTCAGGGTAAAGGCAAATAATAGATGATCAGAAGCCCTAAGGAGAGACTCTCTGGAAAATTAAGATATTTTAAAGCAGCACATATATGGGAAAATTGAAAAGGCACACACAGGCCCAGAGAAGATGCATAAAAGAAAAGCCTAAAAAGACTTTATTGTTTCTCTTTAGCTTAATCCCAAACCTCAAAACCAAGGACAAGTTTAGAGAAAGACTTCCTTAGAACAAAACTAGTATACAAAGAATTCGAAATGTGACTGCTTTTATAAATGCCCAACATCACTAATTACTAGAGGTCTGCAAATCTCCAATATATTTGTGTTTGGAGTTCCCCCCCCCCCTTTTAATAATAGCCATTCTTATTGGCCATTTATTTTTTTTAGAATCTTATAGAAAAACCTGAACAAACTTTTTAGCCAACCCAATACATTTAGAGAGATAAAGTAAATGTAGCAAAAGATCACCACTAGGTAAATCTAGATGAAAAGGAAATGGGATTTCCTTGTATCTGTTTTCCAAGGCAAAGTTTGATTTGAAAAATTAAATATTAAAAGCACTATTATACCGTGGATCTCTTGGCATATTTTCGGTTGCTATTATGCTAAAAGTTCCCTACAATATCTGTGCATGTTTCATTATCAAAATGTATAAGCATGATATTATATTCAAATATCTAAAATAGTTTTATATTTATAGGTCAAATATTCTAGATACATTTAATACTATCAAAAGATACTTCAAAAACCAAACGAACAAAAAAGTCTCTCTATCAGTTACTATTCATGTAGTCTTAAACAAAGAGCCCCACCTAGCTAAACTTAAGTTTTTAAAGATAATTATAGGGGTAATGTGAGAAAAATTATAGATCCAGTACAGTGGATGTTTTGATAATAAAATTAAGTACTATATGCATTTGCTATGCTTATATCTAAGCATAACACACAACACAAAATAGAATTTCAGAACGTGTTTGAATTAGATGAAGATTTATCCACAAAATTGTACTGAACAGATTGATCCATTGGGTTGTGCCTTTGAACAGAGTCTGTGAACTCTAGGTTACTAAGAAACAAGGTCTACAAATAAAAATTTTTATCAGAGAAAAGCAGCAAGCAATTTCACACGTTGCTCCTGCACCATTTGCTTTTGTCTAGTTCTTCAGTGTGGCAGTCAAGAACACAAATGAAAACAGGAGCCTCTAACAGCTATTTTACAATTTCTAGAATTGTCCAGTTCCCTCCTTAAAGGGAAGACTACAGGAAGCTGTAGGAACCACATGTGAGATGAACCACTGCAAACAACTTTATAAAAACCAGTTCTGTCTCCCCCTCAATAAATCATTCATGCATGCATTGTCTATTGTGTCTCTTTTGCGAGAGACACAGACTGTAGACCGCCAGACTCTTCTGTCCATGGGATTTCCCAGGCAAGTATACTGGAGTGTGTTGCCATTTCCTCCTCCAGGGGATCTTCCCAACCCAGTGATTAAACCCACATCTCCGGCATCTCTTGCTTAAAAGGCAGATTCTTTACCACTGAGCCACTTAGGAAGCAGCCCCATCCCAACCTCCCTCAATGAATATTCCACCTCTAATCAAAAATACCCCATCCATTCAATGATAAAAATAAGAAAAAAGATGAAATAAAAAACCCTACAGGGATGCCCCTACACTCTCCTCTGAGTGTGTCCTTTTGCTTTTGCCTCAGTAAACTGCTTCTTTGTTCTCTTTGCTCATAAAACAGAAAAGCAAACAAACAGAAAACAAAGAGATTTGAACACAATCTGTGAACTCTAGGTTACTAAGAAACAAGGTCAACAAATAAAAAATTTTTATCAGAGAAAAACAGCAAGCAATTTCATACATTGCTCCTGTACCATTTGCTTTTGTCTAGCTCTTCAGTGTGGGAGTCAAGAATACAAAGGAAAACAGGAGCCTCTAACAGCTACTTTATAATTTCTAGAATTGTCCAGTTCCCTCCTTAGAGGGAAGACAAACAAACAAAACACCCCACAGATCTGTAGATTTCTGATTTCTTACTGTGAATGGGCTACAAAATTCTGAACTTCAAATTAACAAAGGCCAGCTGTACAGTCCTACTGAGGATTGGTCTTCAAAATTTGATCTACAGAAGAATTATCCAAAGGGATTGTTAAACCCAGATGGTATAGATTTTTTAAATGCTACAAATGGCTCCAACTTCATACCCATGAAAACCAAACCAACAAACGTAACAGGTGGGAAAGAGAGAGAGAGAGAGAAGGAGAAGAGAATGGAAGAGTTTTGATGAGATTTAAAATCTTTAATTATTAAACATCAGCTATGTGGGTACTAAATTAATCTGTACATAGATAAATTTTCAGAGCTCTCTCTGTGAAGCTTTCTTAAGTATGACTGATATAAAGATGAAAAGAAATTATCTCTTTAAATGATAGTTGCCTATAACCTCCTTAGCAGGAAATATTTTGTTCTCTGAATTCAAATGCCAGCCACAGAGCTTGATAAAGCAGGAGAGGCAACTCATAAGGGCTCTTTCTAGAAGCAGCACATCCAGGAAGACATGGTGTGCCTGTCACTTTGCAGCCCTACTGATCCAAACAGAGAAGCTGTAGCGCCCCCCCCCCCCCCCCAGAATAAAGCCAGGTGTAGACCTCTGCCCTCCAGACAATAAACAATCTGCCCTTCTTCAATTGTCACATTGAATCAGAAATCAATCTTAGATAGCACATAAAAGATGGACATACCTGCTCCACACACCAGGAATCCAAGAATGGTTCCAGTTGCCTCTCACCTGTTGCTCACTTGCTCCTTCCACCCCTCTGTCTCTCCTTTATCAAAGCTAAAGCAGACTGAGCAAGGCAGTCTTCTCTTCCAGTATACTGATGTGTTTAAACTGAAATTGAAAGTAATTCATGCTCTTTTTAAGGTAGCAGAGTCATGCCAGATCCTATGACTACAGCACAAACATGGGTACATGGAGCAGAGCAAGAGGAAATTAGAAAAAGACAGCCCAGAGCAACTGAATTAGGATTGCAGAATGTGAATCCTAACATTCTGCACTTTTCTATGGTGGAATTTCAGCCACGTTAGAGGCTTTCATGGCCTCTCTTCTTGATACCTCTCCTGGGCATAAGATTGCTTGAAGTGAGTGAAATTGAGCTGTGTAAACCAAGTATATTTCAAACATTTTTTTTCTTAGCAAGGATTCCTGAGTACTGTGTTAGTGAAGAGCTCTTAAACATTTTAAATCTGTTCCTTAAAACATATATTTAATGAAACAAATATCTTTTAAAATAAAAAGAAAAGTAAAGGTGAAAATGAATAACGCTTCATGGTATTATCCAAGGTGCTCACTCCTGGCTGGACATTTTCATACCTCCCCAAAACATGGACCCTCTACTAACATAGGTACCACCCCCTTTCTACAGAAATTTAGCCAACTGGACCAGTTTCAAAGGGATTTATTTGATCAGGTAAGAAAGTGATTGGGTGTACATGTTTGTTAGTGACGAAGGCAATGGAGCCATGTAAAGAGAAAAACAGAGATTTGGTAGGAAGATGTCCAAGGAAGTCAGGCCGTGAGGCTCCTTCCACCAGGTCTCCATTGTCCTCACCATTCTCCTTGTCTGTGGGAACTTTTCCAGAAAAGGCCACATAGTAAACACTTTAGAATTTGCAGGCCATAGGTCTCTGTCACAACTATTCAGAAGAAGCATACATAGACAAAGATAAACAAATGGGTGTGGCTATGTCCCAATAAGACTTTATTTACTAAAGTAGGCAATGGGACAGATTTGGCCAATGCCATAGTTTGTCCACCCCTGGTTTAGGTAAGTGTCTGCTGCTGCTACATGCTAGGGGTTGTCAGCTTCTCATGCATGGTTGTCTTACAGGATGAACGGAATGGCCCGAGTCCAAGGTCTCAGGCTGAGTGTCTACTTCTATGGCAGTTGGGGTCTAAGTATCCTTATCATTTGGAGCAGAGAGACAGAAAAGGAATATGCTTTCTGTCTACCTGTCTGAGCATTATCCAAGTGAGTTCCTGCCTGGGTCCTTCGGCCATACATCCACATATCTGCACAACTAACTGTCCAACTTCCAGCAATATAGCACTGCCAGTAGCTCCTAAACAGGCCTAAGAGAAAAAAGGGCGATGTCAGATAGTCAGTGGTAATGGGGAAGAGGCTGGTTTGGCCGTGGGACAACTGTGGTGAGTCTACCAGCCTCTATGATTGAGTGAGGAAGCCTAACATCTGGGTACATGTTCAGCTTGAGTAAACTTGCTTTGCTGAAATATATACAGACTTTCCTGCCTGCATTTACTAGACTATTCATTCTAAGCACAGATTAAAGAACACAGTTCCCATGGAAGCCGCACAAGGACAAACCTAAGATATAAAGATTTGCAGACACTGCCACCATGTGGCAACTCAAAATCATGATCTATCCAGTAATATATGAATGTTCCTGTGACAAGATCTTTGTTGAATTCAATATAAATTCAATGTAGAATCTATAGAAATTCAGCTATAAAAAGTGTGAATCCACATATACAAATATATCACATGCATGCAATGATAATTTTGATTCCATAAGTTTCTTAACATAAGCACTGGCTATAATGTAAGTTCTCTTGCTGTTTAATTGCTAAATCATGTCTGACTCTTTTGTGACCCCGTGAACTGCAGCCTGCCAGGCTCCTCTGTCTATGGGATTTCCCAAGCAAGAATACTGGAGTGGGTTTTCCGCTTCCTTCTCCAGGGGATCTTCCCAACCCAAGGATCGAACCCACGTCTCCTGCATTGGCAGGCAGATTCTTTACCCCTGAGCCACCTGGGAAGCCCCAGTAAGTTCTCTCAAGGTTAATTGAAATGAGGAGAGAAGTAGTAAGGTCTTAAGCTCCTTTGGAAAGAATGTTTATTCTTGGGTTCTCCCTCCCAGTAAAGAGACATGGATGCACACAGTTTATTTGAGAAGCAGTGACAAATCAGAAGAAGAGTGAAGGGGGATAGAGAGAGTAAGAAAGGGAAAATGGAAAAAGTCAAAAAGGTGAATTATTGAGCTTGTTACCCTTGTGGGAAACTGCAGATCAATCTCAAGATGGATATTCTGAAGAACTACACTGAATGCGATTCTGAAGAACTACACTGAATGTGTTTCTGAAGTGTCCCTTTGAAGGACGTGAAGATTTTTCCAACAACTTATGTTTCCCTTCAATTGAGAGTTACCTTAGAGGTCTTTAACCCCTCTAAACTTCTAGGCTGTGCTTGTGCAAAATGAGCTGCCTTTCATAGCTTGAAAAAAAGCCTGAGAGAGGATGGATAAGACACTCAAGTAGGACATAGAAGTGTGCTAACTGGTACCATAAGTGCAGTGGGCTTGAGAACGGAGGCAAGAGGCAGAAGGAACAGATAGTAAGTACTGGAAATTACTGAAGCCTAGGAATTGCAAAATACAGTGACCTAATCTGAATAATCTCTTTAGACAAAGCCTTGTACTGAAAAGAAGTTAAAATTCTGCATTTAAAAATGTATCTTTTTAAAAGCAATAAAAATTTTTGCAAATGACATCATTAGGTCAAATTTCACAGGAAAGTGGGAACTCAAAGAGTTGGGTAGAGCATTGAAACTGCTTTTTCCCAATAGCATTTGCCAAACAAGAGAATGTACCACCAGTTGTGAAGGCATTATGAGATAAGGGGCCAGGGTTCAAAAGCCAGAACTTGTCCAAAGAGTCTATGGGCATGTAATATACTACAGTTGCCATGGTGACCATAGTTAACAGCACTGTATTGTATGTTTGAAAGCTGCTAAGAGAGTAGATGTTAAAAGTTCTCATTAACTGAATATAATCTATATTAAAAAAAAAAAAAAAAAAACTCCCAGCAAACAAAAGGCCAGAACCAAATGGCATCACTGGGAAATTATACCAAACGTACAAAGAACAACTGATAGCAGTCCTTCTTAAACTCTTCCAAAGGATTGAAGAGAAGGAAACACATCCAAAGTCATCCTATGAGATCACCATCACCTTGATCCAAAGATACTACATTTTAAAAAAAAAAGAAAGAAAGAAAAGTTTAGGCTTAAATTCCCACAGGCACTTTAAAACGGCCAATGTGTATGTAGTTGTAACTGTAAAAATAAAGCCAATACTATTAGGGTGGGCATATATTGATACATGGGTTTGAAGCTTACTTCTTTTATTTATATATTGAGAGTTAACGATTCAATACTTCTATAATGTTATAACATTTTCTATCTCTTTCTAGCCTAGACTATTTCCTCAAAGTCTGATATCACTGTTGTTTATCATGATACACAGAATCAGTTCAGTTCAGTCACTCAGTTTTGTCTGACTCTTTGCGACCCCATGGACTGTAGCACACCAGGCTTCCCTATCCATCACCAACTCCCAGAGTTTACTTAAATTCATTCCATCAAGTCAGTGATGCCATCCAAACATTTCATCTTCTGTCATCCCTTTCTCCTGCCTTCAATTTTCCCAGCATCAGGGTCTTTTCCAATGAATCAGTTCTTTGCATCAGGTGGCCAAAGTTTTGGAGTTTCAGCTTTAACATCAGTCCTTCCAATGAATATTCAGGATGATTTTCTCGTTTGATCTCCTTGCAGTCCAAGGGACTAGCAAGAGTCTTCTCCAACACCTCAGTTCAAAAGCATCAATTCTTCAGTGCTCGGTTTTCTTTATAGTCCAATTTTCACATCCATATGTGACTACTGAAAAACCATAGCTTTGACTAGATGGACCTTTGTTGGCAAAGTGGTGTCTCTGTGTTTTAATTGCTGTCTAGGTTTGTCATAGCTTTTCTTCCAAGGAGCAAGCATCTTTTTTTTTAATTAATTAATTAATTAATTTTAATTGGAGGCCAACTACTTTACAATATTGTAGTGGTTTTTGCCATACATTGACATAAATCAGCCATGGGTGTCATGTGTTCCCCATCCTGAACCCCCCACCCACTTCCCTCCCCATCCCAACCCTCAGGGTCATCCCAGTGCACTGGCCCTGAACACCCCATGAAATGCATCAAACCTGGACTGGCAATCCATTTCACGTATGGTAATATACGTGTTTCAGTGTTATTGTCTCAAATCATCCCACCCTCGCCTTCTCCCACAGAATCCAAAAGTCTGTTCTTTACACCTGTGTCTCTTTTGCTGTATCACATATAGGGTCATCGTTACCATCTTTCTAAATTCCATATATGTGCATTAATATACCATATTAGGATTTTTCTTTCTGACTTACTTCACTCTGTATAATAGGCTCCAGTTTCCTCCAGTTCCATTCTTCTTTCTCAAGATTGTTTTGGCTATTCAAGGTTTTTTGTATTTCCACATAAGCTGTGAAATTATTTGCTCTAGTTCTCTGAAAAATATCATTGGTAGCTTGATAGGGATTGCATTGAATCTATAGATTGCTTTGGATAGTATAATCATTTTCACTTTATCGATTCTTCCGACCCATGAACATGGAATATTTCTCCATCTATCTGTGTCATCTTTGATTTCTTTCATCAGTGTTTTATAGTTTTCTATATATAGGTCTTCTGTTTCTTTAGGTAGATTTATTCTTAAGTATTTTATTCTTTTTGTTGCATTGGTAAATGAAATTGTTTCCTTAATTTCTCTTTCTGTTTTCTCATTGTTAGCATATAGGAATGCGAGGGATTTCTGTGTGTTAATTTTTATCCTGCAACTTTACTATATTCACTGATTAGCTCTAGTAATTTTCTGGTGGAGTCTTTAGGATTTTCTATATAGAGGATCATGTCATCTGCAAACAGTGGGAGTTTTACTTCTTCTTTTCCCATCTGGATTCCTTTTATTTCTTTTTCTTCTCTGGTTGCTGTGGCTTAAACTTCCAAAACTATG